AGTGTAATTTATTTCAGCACACATTAGAAGTATTCTTGAAGCATCGATGAGTAAACTGCACAAACATAAGAGATCATTTCACAACCACACTTTTGGTTAATGAAAATTTTTGGAGACATTGGAAGTCTGTACCTTCTGAAACCTTGTTTCTGCCATTGATTGTGATTTTATGCCATTTGTAGGCAATCACCCATGTCACATGTGGAATACTTTTTAAATGTCCTTAAGAAGAATGTTTTGTATATTGATGGCACTACCCTATGTAGTTTCTGTGGCCAATTGAAAATTCAGTTACCAGAAGGGACTTTGGAGAGTAACTATTGCCCATCTGAGAAAAGGCTCTGATCTGCCTCACCCTACCCTGGCTATGAGGATATCAATGGGCTCTCACTCCTCTGCTCATTTTAACTCTTCAGCATTTGAAACTGTGCTATCCCACACCATATCCTTCTTAAAAATCTAGTTGTCTGAATTGCAATTTCTGTAAAGCTTTTAGTACACGACATATGTGGGTGGTCCAAGTTTCACATCCCCTAGATAGTAGGGATTATCTCTTGTGTTGCATATGGTCATAGGATTATCTCTTGTTTTGTGTAGGGTCATTTTGTTCTTTGAATCATGAAAAAAGTTGTGATGAACCATGATTGAACAAAATTTGAAGATATGAAATTTGTTGGCCTACGTTTCTTTTAGTGCCATAGGAACAGAATGTTCCAATATGCCTTAAGCTCAGTGCTAATTAGATTCTCTAGTTTTGCATTTTCTATTGAAGTTACTTTCTAGATAGCTGAAGGTGTGGATGACTTAATAATTTATTCCGTTAGCAGCCGTTCTTCTGGCAGTTTCCAACAATTGTGGACAAACACAGAAAAAGGGAAATTGCTGCAGCTTATGACCAGACGATCGCCTTCTCCCCTGCTGTGTCAATGTGACAGGCACAGCTGTCTTGAAAGGAGGCATAGTTAAAGGAGGTTGTCACATTACCAAAATAAGGACAAGTGCTCTCAGACAAGGGTTGTGAGTTGAGCTAAAGACCCTGTGTACTAGGTAACTTAGTCTGCAGCAAGTTCAATACCATCAGAATGCTATTTATCAATCGTTTTTTGTGTATCAACGTAAGAAGCATCTTTCAGACGAGAGAAGTTAAAGAGGCCACCATTAATTTTATCGATACCTTATTCTAATGCCAGTGTCATTGGCCTAGTTGCTTAATTATGCTCTGTGAACTCAAGGAAGTTAAGCAACCGAAGACATCTCAGGTTCCCAGATGGTGACCGTCTGGGAACCCTGGTTACTAACGGCACAGAGCCCCTGGCCAAAGGGATAAAAGATTTTGACCAACTGTGACATTAAGAGACAAAAGAGACAAATGACAAGACTTAACGGAGGATAACTCAAAATGTGTGTGTATATGCTCAATGTCTAAAAAAAAAAAAAAAAAAACTCCACCAACAACAAACCAAAACACCTTGCTCTTGCAGAAGCTTGTCAGCAATGATGCTCAGCCCTACTAAGAATACAGATAGATTAAATAAAGCTGGGTCAAGGATACATTCCTGTCGATGCATGTCAGGAAGGAACATATTATTTGTCCTTTGCAGATGGATCTTGTATTACTTCTATAATGGAGAATTTGACACACCTTAATGCATTTTTGAGTTATTTTCACTGAGTTGAAGGCTTTTGTTACATCAGTGACATTACATCATTCTGATGGTTTAGCTCTGTGGCCTTCCCTTGAAGTTGTTAGAAGTTTAGTGTCAGTAGTAGTATGGATGAATGAGTCTTTGCTAAAGCTAGGGGAGATTTTTTGAGCTTTTAATAGAAGTGTATTTACCATTAGCCTTGTAAAGACCTTCCTGGCTGCAAATAAGACTGAAATGTCTCTGTAATTACTGCTGATGGAAACGTTACCTTTCTTCTTGTCCAATTCTCTAAGAGGACATCTGCCATGATGGTTTCATGTTTTCAGATATGTTAAAACGGCTTTTGGGCATGGAATTAGCTTTCAGTTAAAAGCTACTAAAAGCCACCTGTACTTATCAATATAACAGCAGGCATCCCATCACAGCCAGCTGCTTTTTTGTTCTTTGTATTTGAGCTTTTGATATCTCATGTAGTATTCGGGTATTCTTTAGATTATTAAAGATACCATAATGTAATAAAAGTATCATGCAAACATATATCATGCTACCATGCAAACATAACCCAAGCAATAAACATATATAATTATTGCTACATCAGTAAAAATGGGTATAGATAGAACACCTTTTTTGCTAAGGCAAAAAAGAAAATAAAGGATAATATCTTGTTTCTATTATACACTATTGTTAAACAAAAATGATACCCCCCCCCAATTAATAATTTGTTTTAATAAAACCTAATAAAAGAGTATTAAATTGGTCAGAACTTGTACCCCTTCAGCAAGTTGGTTGGACAAATGAGGGGCCATATAAGAAAACAAGGAAGATTTACTAATATGAGGAACTGACAATTTCCTTTATGATCATGTGCTAAATCATTTTCTAGTTTACCAATATCTCAAGAATTACTCAAAAAGGAAGTTCACCTATTTTCATCACTTTGATGATAAGTTTGGTGACATATGTCATCTTCGTCATGGTCAGCCAACTTAAGCTTTCCAGTGCAGCAGAAAGATTATCATATTTCCTAAGGCTGTAAGAAATGTTAACATTTTCTGGTTAACATTTAAAAAAAGCCACAATTCTGTGCACGGAATGGGGTTCTTTGTCATGCACTAAGAGAGGGGCTAAAAGCTGTATCTGCAAAATTAAATAGGGATAGTATAAATAAGTTTATAAGTTACCGTTTTGATCTGAGATGCAGAAGTTTATGAAATGAATATAGTGTTCTTGATCATCTAGGTTAATTCCCATTCATTAGTCCCTACTCTCTTAACATTCCAGCCATTCTTGGTAGGAAAACAAGAATGGCAACTCAATGTATCTGTAAGATAAAGAAATTCTAAAAGTTACATTCTTTTTTTTAGCAATAAAAAAATCTACAGGTCTCAGTTGTGAACAGTCTTGAAATGTAATTAAAAAAATGTTTGTTTTAGTATCACATGGTACAGAAGAAGAAATAATATAAGAAGAAATAATATTGGGTGGCATTTGGATCTCAATTCATCTACTTTGCTTACTAATAAAAAAAAATAAAAAAACAAAGATAAATATGTTTTGGTTGAAATTCATGGAAAGTCATATAAATTAAGAGAGTAAATATTTGAAGATTTGGACACTTTCATTATGTAGAGTTTACTGTGTATTTTTAACAGTTCAGAATAAATGTGTCTTATGTGGTTATGGGCAATTTAAGAAAGCACAGACAAAACATTAGTGTTGTAATACATTGTTTGTCTTAACACAAAACCTTTAATTTTTTGGTATTATGTAGGTGGAAGAAAAACTAACTGAATGTACAGTGGTGGTTCAAGAAGTCTGTCTCCCCCACACAAAGAGGGAACCAAGACTTCGCTCACCACCTCCTTCTGTTTCGCTCACCAAGATTCCAGCTGGCAAAGGATCTGCGAGCCGCTCCGATGACAGGCACGCTGCTAGCGCATCTGGATCAGGAAGCACAACTGTGTTGGATGGGAAGTTGAGAGAGATTTTGTCAAAGATCGGTGGGAAGGCATCAGCTTTGCTAGACTGCGATGTGTCCATAAGCTTTGCGAGCCAGTCGGATAAAGCTGCAGCTCCACCCGCTCCAACGCTGCCTTCAGAGGATGTGGAGATCATCATGGTTCCTGGAGGGAATAGTTCTGGTGGTCGTGGCAGGGGCAGAGGACGCGGACGAGGTCACAGTCATCGTGGTGCTCACTCTCAGGTAGGATTTGGTCACTTGTCTATTTTGTAAAATTAATTTATGTTTTTGAGTAGAGGCAATGAATGATTTGTATGCAGTGAACTGAATTGTAAGTTAAGAGTTCTTTCTTGTTATCTCTAAATAGTGTCTTTTTCTTATTATTCTTGCAAAATTGAGGAAATAGCATATAATTTTGAAAGATTTGGATAATTTAAAAAAATCTTCAAACAAAAAGAAGTATCTTATATTCTGGCATCATTTTTTTAAACATTACAATATTAATATGAGTTAGTAAAAGCAGGAGAAATAATGTCAATTAATGAGTTCACAATGTGCATTATGTTAAGTCAATATACATTATATTTGTCTTTTGTTTTCTGACAGTTTTAGTATCTTTTTCACAGCTGATACTGTTAATTCACCTTGTTACATCTTTATATTTAACAATGTGAATCTATCACGAATGCAGTCCACATACTCTACACCTAGTTTGTTTCAAGGTTGTGAAATTCAAGTGTCCTGCAGAGCAGATTCTCCAGTGGAAGCCATGAACAAATTTTCTTATAAAGATATGTCTGTTCATACTAGTTGGGTTCTCTTCACTCTCAATTTAGCATGGCTTCAATTGTCTGTGTAGCTGTCTTTCTTCATGTTTAGCTTATTAATTGCTTCTTCATACCTATAGGTCGATGGTAGGTGTGTCTACCCAACGTGTTTACCAATCTGGATCTGGTGTTCTTGGATAAAGAGTTTTCAGGAACAGCGATTTGATTATTTTGAATTCATTTAGTTGTCATAGATTCACTTGTTTGCTTAGTCTTTGTGAGGAACTCCCATACTTCTATACCACAAGTGAGTGCTGACACTTTAGTTTTAAACTGTTTCATTCTTGTACCCAGTATCGTAACTCTGAGATTCTTTATTTCGCTATTTACTACTAATTGTGGCAGTAATTTTTCCTTCTTCCGAAGTGCAGAGATATTCAAGAATGTACTTACAGGATACTTCAGAAATATAGTTAGGAATTTGAGACTTTTTGTTATGGTAAAATCTTTACCCATGAATTTTATTCCAAGATGTCTTTCACCTTTTCTAAATCATTCTCTCCATGTTTTCATGATTGATAATTATCCAATCTGTAGAATTCTTGAACCTTGAGCAAAAGAATCAAATTGATGGTTCATTTAGTCGAGGATCATGCTTGGAAACTATATTCAGATTTCTCACACAAGTATGAAAAAAATACTTTTTTGTTTGTATTGAAAGAGCTTTCATTTCATTTTGAGATGGGTAATTATAAAGACTCTGGGCAATTTTGCAATGTTCTACCCTCATTTCATAGTCAAAAGAAAATCTTTGTTTTAACCCTTATTATTTGAAGGTTTGATGATCATGGTTGCTTTATTGATCATCAGTGAGGACCCCTAAGTTATTTTTTAACTTTTTATTTAATACACTGTATTATAATTATTATCGGAGGCTGGAAGTTAGGTAAAATGCCTTTTAATTTTTGTTATGATTGTATGACTTTTATAATATTAGAAATCACATAATTCTATTTCTGATATTGTTTTATTAATCTTCATTTGGTCTTTTTTCTGGTTCTTATGTCAATTTTTAGTATTTTGCCTTTTTTTTTTTTTTCTCCCTCCTGATTTCGATCGAGCTGAAACAGCCTGCAAGCCTTGGCAATATGAAGGCACTATTGCATTTTGTCTTAATAATTAAGATTAAAAAGAAATATTGTTTCCTTCTGACTAAGGGCTACTCATTTTTAGAATTAGAATAAATATTTGAAATATTTTATTACTAATTTTTTACAATAATTCCTTTTAAGTTGTGATTTTTCTTTGGCTACATGCCTATTTGCACCCCCTACTTTGGCCAGAATAAATGTCTTTTTGCAAACCTATTTTTGTTAAAAATAATTTTTTGGGGGGCTTTTTATTTTAAGTAAAATGAATTCCTGAACTTACAGGCTAGAATTATAATTATGTTAATACTAAATTAGGTGAGATTGACAAGATAAATATCTATTTTAAAGAAGAAAAAATTATCTGTTTTCATTATTTACATAATACAAAAATTTTGCTCAAAACATATTTGTGTATCCTTTAGAGCAAAGGATGGTGGTCTGAATCTACCTTTGTTATTTGCAAATTAGGAGATTGCAATTAGTCGCACTTGTTAGTTACTTTTTTAATTTAATTTATTTCACTGAAACAGCAAATGCCTCATTCCTATTGTTACTGTATTTACAGATCAACAACAGTACAAGTACTAACTTGTATCCCTACAGCTTCTATTGTCTGTAGTACCAAGTATAGGCATTGGCTGCTTCTCAGGCAATGTTTGGCTTTGTTTCCCTTTTTTAAGGAGAAATTTTCAGCTGTGTTTCTTATTCCAGACCTGGGGTTTTGATATCCACGAGATAAATGAATTCATGACAGTAACATCAAATACATTCATAAAAGACCTGTAAGGCCTTCAGGAAGTCTGTCATGTGAATATCCTCAAATCAGTTTGTCTACATTGTCCACTCCTCCGTTCATATAATTGTAATAATGGCTTAAGACTATCTTTATTAGACATAGAAATACTAATTATTTGAGTAGGTAGCAAAACGTTTTTTTTTCTTTTTCTTTAGGACATATTTGAGATTCTCTAAGAACAGAATATAAATAAAAAAAGCTTTTCTTTCTTTGCCAGTTTCCATTATTACAGGAATATCTGCCTCCAGTGACCTTATTGGCCCAGTCTGAGAAATATCTTAGTCCAGCAGAAATTTTGTAATTGGCTCTGAAGGTAAAAAATTATGACTTGCATTGTCACTCATTTGCCAGTTGTATACAATTTCACTTGTTAGCATGATGCAAACAATATGATGGCCAAGTCATTCTCTGGAGCAGTCTCTGGGTTTTCCCATTTCCCAACAAAGCACAAAAACTACTGAAGATCTGAATTGTATATGAAAATCTTAAACCAACTTTACAAGGAAGAGTTGCATAGGGCCCCATTTGAATTGTCTATTAGAAAACCAAAATTTTTACCTCTTTGTTTTAATGTTTTATATTTTGTGACAAAGAAAGAAATGCATAAAAAAATCATGGGACCTGTACTTGTGATATTTTTCAGCAGGCTCTTACAAATGGCCAGGTGTCTCTGGACGCTTCCAGCTTCCGTTGCCGTAACCAAAGCGTTCAATATCCGACAGCTTTAAGTTACTGTTTGTGGACAGAATGTAGTAATAGAATCATGACATTGCTGGAAAATAACGTTAAAAAATGTATTTGAACAATGTACTATTTTAATATTTTCGAAAAGAAAATCAGAATCACGGCTCATGTACTATTTAAATGTGGAAAGTTGTATTCGTAATAATTCTACTTGTTTATGAGTCAGGGTCGGGATCACAGAGCTCAAGAAAACTGGCACATTGCACGTCTCCTTACTGTTCGCTTAATAAATCCACTTGAAAACTCGGAAATGCTGTCACACCAGCGAAATTGCATTGACGTTGCTACCCCTTACCCCTGGCGGCGGAGTGCAGAAGCGCATGAAGGCGAAAACCGCGTGGAGGTAGAAACATGTGCAGACAGCTAGTCCAAGAGAGTGCGTGCGTGCCAGCCTGCTGGACCGGGCTGGGCTCGCTCAATACCTATTAGTACTTGTAAGTATTAGTACTTATAAATATTAGTAGGTATTGGTTCGCTGCACCTACCCTCCCCGAAACTGTGCCTGCCTCAATCTGTTTTGGCGCGGAACCGGAGCACGCGCAGCCAAACACGTGACCGGCGTGGTGCGACGGGTTTGCTTGAGGGATTGTCTTGGTTGATTGACATGACAAACGTAAGTGCGTTTCGAATTTGACGATTGTTCCATGGTTGTACAATATAATACGTCTCGTTCGTTTCTAAATATTATTGGGGGTGGTCTATAATAATTGGCATCACCTGGTATTTATGTACTTCTTTGCCTTTTTATTGCAATAAATTGGGTTTACAACCAACGCTGGACTTCTAATACAGAACTTCTAAATGGCTCTCGATATCGACACCGGTTTTCGCTCAACAATGGGGAATCATGGAGCAAGCAACAAGTATTATTTGTAGTATTTTTAGTTTTCGAGAAATATAATCTTTGGTTTTTAAATAGAACTACATATTTTGTTCACTAGCAATGAATATATCATTAAAATAAAATGATATAACAATTTTTAATGTTTTGATAATAATTTGATTATATTATTCAATTCAAATTCTGGTATGTGATTTTAAATGAAACTGACAATATTTCCTTTAGTAGACCTTGTCACTGTAGCCTTTGGGGAAGGTGACCTTCGCAACATCGAGGCTGTTACCGGGAGAGGGATGACTGAGGGGAGAAGGGTGGCAAAGAGAGAGGACGTAACTACAACATTCCATAGTCTTCCAGGGATGGTACGGGAACGAAGTCAGTATAACGACCAGAGTGGGAGATCCCTCCCCCCATTGATTCATTAGAATTTAACTTTTCTCAGTAATTGAAGTTTCGAAGCATCGATTATTGAAAAGAATGATGAAAATAAATTGGTACCTTAAGGAATATGTCTTTTCTAAACTTGACAAGAATTGAGCTCGATTTTTAATAGCTACTTGGCTGTCCGGGTCGTTACTGACTCCGGACGCAGAAGCCTAGACTGTTGATTTTTAATGGCTATAGGAACAACCCATGATTTTAAACATTAAATTCAAAGGAGTTACTGATTGATCGAAGATTTTTACAATAATTTATCGCGATAATTCGTCAGATCATTGATAAGTAGACATTTTCTGTTATTATTTACTGTTACTGAACTCACTTATCAGTATTCCGAAGGATAAAACAAAACAAACTTCGAAACGCTCATGAAAGAAAATCTTTGCTATGAATGTAAGATCATAAAAATTAAAGAAAACTAAGCTGATTATGGAAAATCATAATAAAAATGTACATAAATTATTTACACATACGCGTATGCTCTATATTTTCCCCAACGACAG